GTGAGCCACTGCGCCTGGCCTAGATCCTTTTCTTAAAGCGGACCTCTGAGGACCCACTCTCTCCCATCCTTCTTTCCTGCGTGTCTGTCCATCCCTCTCGCCTGGTCCTCCTCCTGCTTTCCTTCAGCTCGGTCCCTTCCAACCTCCAACCCCGTGGTTAAGGGAAAGCCCCTAAACGAACTCTCCTTGCGGCCTCTGTCACATCAAATTCATTTTATGGCTTTCCCTTAACCACGCCCCTAATTCCTATCTCACTGTTAGGCACTGCTCTCTCCCGTCTCCTTCCTCCGCGTTTTGCAAATTTATTGATTAGACATCAGTTTCTCTGCACAGTTCACTGGCTGTAAGAGCTCGTGAGGTGGGGCTCATGACACCCCAGCGTCTGTCCACCTTCTCCATAGTTAGTTCCTGAATGTATGAGGTGGTTGTTCTTCCCTTCCAAAGTTTTAAAATAATACTTGGCTAGTTTTTCCCCCTTTCCCCTATCAAATAATTTATCACATTCTGGTTTTGGCTGTTGTCATTTTATCCCGTTTCCTCGCATCTGCCTGGACGCCACACTGGCCCATGCCGGATCCTACCAACAGGGAGCATTGCTGGAGTCCCCAGGTGTCCCCTCCTCCGCCTTCCTGTCCATCCCCGCCGGCCTCCGCTGTGATGCCATCCGTCCAGGAATTCTCGGGCTTAAGAACCCAGAGTGGTTCTCTGCTGATTACCTCAAGTCTAGCAATAATGCCTCCTTTTCCTTACCTGCCTTTGCAAAATTTTGACTAAGACAGTGAAAGAGATCTGACTTAACCCACTCCATCTTGCTTCTAACATCCAAGCTGTCCTTGTTCATTCCTGGGCATAGGCTGAATTAACTTTGGGAGAAACTTAGTTTAAACAAAGAAGAAAGATAACAGCCCTTTCCCAAAGCTGACCTCCTTTTTGCCTGGGGACTACACTGCCCTTGTAGAACTAACAGCAGCCATAGATTAAAAATTATGGTTTAGGAGTCATGCAGCTGGAGGCTACAAGATTCTGACCCTCCCTAAACTGCTCCTAAGATCAGCGCTTGGGATGCCTTGCAGACCCCGCACTGGGTGGATCAGCTGGCTCCACCCAGATCCATAAACTAGCCCATCTGTTCTTATGGCCCCACCCAGGAACTGACCGAGCTCAAGAAGACAGCTCTGCCTCCCTCTGATCTCATCGCTGACCCATCAGCGCTCCTGGGTCACTGGCTTCCCAACCAAGTTATCCTTAAAAACTCTGCTCCTCCAATGCTCGGGGAGACTGATGGGAGTAATAATAAAACTCCAGCCTCCCGCAGAGACGCCCTGAGTGAATTACTCTTTCTCTGTTGCAATTCCCCTGTCTTGGTGAATCAGCTCTGTCTGGGCAGCAGGCAAAGTGAACCCCTTGGGCAGTTATATCATCGGTTGAAGTACAAACAGGCACACAGAGGTCCGCCAGGTGGGGACTGGGCAGCCGCTGCTGTCTCTCTTCCCACAGCCAATTTCCTTACTGGAGGAAACCAACCTTCACTCCCCTCCACAATGGAATGAATAAACAGAGCAGGCTCTCTGTGTATTTATTATTTACAAAATCAGGCTCTGTTCACAAAACTTTTTTGTAACTTGCTATCTTTCACTTACAAAAAAATCACAGCCATCTCTCTAGGCTAATGTCTATCCTTTGAACTCATCTTTTTGAATGGCTGCATAGTATTCCTCAAAATATACTTACTATAATTTATCCAGCCAGTCCCCCAAGTTCCTTTACTAACAAGGCTTATGTTGTTTTATTTCACTACAAAAATAATTTACAAACATGATTACAGGTATTTTGTACATATTGATATTGTCACTTTACCATTAAAAAAGAAAACATTCTGGCCGGGCGCAGTGGCTCACGCCTGTAATCCCAGCACTTTGGGAGGCTGAGGCGGGCAGATCACGAGGTCAGGAAATCGAGACCATCCTGGTTAACACGGTGAAACCCTGACTCTACTAAAAACACAAAAAATTAGCCGGGCATGGTGGTGGGCACCTGTAGTCCCAGCTACTCAGGAGGCTGAGGCAGGAGAATGGAGTCAACTTAGGAGGCAGAGCTTGCAGTGAGCCGAGATCACGCCACTGCACTCCAGCCTGGGCAACAGTGCGAGACTCCGTCTCAAAAAAAAAAAAAAAAAAAGAATCCATACCCTTTTTAGTAATGTGTGATCATGGGGTTTCTGGAAGCACTGGTCACCTTGAATTTTATTCCATCCTTGGCTTTGGTTGAGTGAAGCCATGTGTCTTGTCATTTCCCTGGCCCCTAGGGAGGCTAAGCATTCTTTCACGCCTTCCCCGTCTGCATCTCCTCTTCTGTGAAATTGTGATTCATATCCTTTCCCTGTTTTTCTTCTTCCTTTTCACGTTTTTCACATCGATTCGTAATAGCTCTCTGTACATTGCGGTGCCAACGCCTTCGCCCACCTTATCTGTTGCCAGTATTTTCTTCCAGCTTATTGTTGATACTGTTGTTATTTTTCCGTTTTGCTGATGGTATTTTTTCCCACGTATATATAAACGTTTTCGGTAATTCAGTCATTTGAAAAGAATCCCAGTCTCCATGGCCTGTCTGTGACTTTCTCACCGAGGCTTGCATTTTGGGGTGAGTGGCCGCATCCCCCCATGGGCCCGTTCCTTCCCATGCCCTCACCAGGCTCAGCCCTGGTCTCATGCCCTGCTCCCTCCTCCCAGCGAGTCCTCCTGGGGGCATCTGGCTTCCCCCCTACCCTGGCAGGCCGTGCTGCCTCCTGGTGATATTCAGAGCTGTCCCGTCCCTCCCTAATGAACGCCTGTCCCAGAGGATGTGTGGCTACAGTGCAAGTAAAAAAACAAGCTATCTCTTTTCGATAGCTACAAAACACACAAATGTAACGAAAGAGCTGCTTTTAATAAGTAACAGACAGTGTTCTGTACTGCTGACCTATAGGGCTGCTTCCCAGACTCCATCTGGTTTATATCCAGCATTTTCTGTCTCTACTTCTCCCGAATTCAGGTTTTAGAGATGTGGTAAAAAAATTTAAAATCAAAAATTCAAATATGTTTTGCCACAGAAAAATATTACTAGAACTTCCCATTGTTGCAGGTATTTGAAATTATCTTAATGATTTTTCCAGTTTCCAAATTCTTTTTAATCCATTTTTAAAAATTACTCTACTTATTTTTTAGGGGGAGGAAAATACTAAAAGAATAAAGAACAGAAAACTTAGAGAATCCTGTGTCTACGAGTGATAGAATGTGGACTCTGTGACATACGTTAAATATTCACGGGGGTGGAAATATGTTGCTCCACAGAAAAGTGATAGAAATGAAAATGCTCTGAAGATTATTAAATGGGAAACATGAAGTTTAGAGACAGGGCATGGGCTTGGAATAGTTTTGTTTTTGTTTTTTCCTACTTACTGTGTCTCTTTAACTTTCAGGCCTCAATTTTATCATCTGCACGAACTATGCCACAGGAATGTCTTTCCCGTGTGTTCATGTGACAGTCGGTGGATGTGAACATTCTAGCACGTGTGGAAGAACCCGGAAAATGCACAGGGCTCCACACGGGTAAGGGGGTGCTGCCATGTGCCTGGTGCGGTAGCTGTGAGTTCACCAGACTGTCATCCTCACCGTGCTCTCTTCCCGGGAGTACCCTTCTCCATGAGAGAAACGCACCACTAATATCACACTGCCCTCCAATCAAGGAGCAGGAATAGAAAAAAAAAAAAAAAAAAGCATCAACAAGAGCATTCTAAATAATAGGAGAAAACCCTAAAAAAACCCTGCGTGTTGCAGAAGGAAAGAGGAAGTTCTAGAAAGGGTAGAAGAGAAGAGGAAGGAGTATTATGTTGTCAGCACAGCCGCTGTAGGGGGAGGACCAAAGGAAGCGAGCGGGTGGTCTCTCGCTGACCACTGCTGGGTAGTGGCTGAGCGTGAGCGAGGCCGTCCCGTGTGGAGGTTGGACCACAGAGGCTTTGTCCCCGGGTGATGGGCGTGGGACCAGCTGAGGCCGAAATCCCCGTCCCAGCCAACACTGCCTGGGCTTGGTGCTCCTTTCTCAAGGGGAGTCCCAGGAGAATGCGGTAGGATTCTCAGAGCCGCTGCACTGGGCAGGTGCCAGGGAGGTGGGCAGTGCTTTGCCCAGGACCGCCCCAGGGGACAGAGGCAAGTGAACACCTACAAGAGGGAGGAAGGAGCTGCTCTCTTTGTTTCTTAGAATCCAAGATGGGGTGAATTCAGCCATCAGAAAAGAAGATGTGACGGACATAAAAGAGGAGAGGGGGAAATCGGAAGGAATGGTTTAGAAGAAAAAGCCAAGATACCTTCCGAGGACGGAAAGTGGAAGAGGGAAGGGCCGGAGAGGCCGAGGTGGAGGAAGCGGTGTGCAGGCTGATTGTTTTGGCCACATAAGGAAGTGGTTTGTGGACAATGTGGTCTGGAACAGGCTAGCAAACCCAGGCTAGGAGATGTGAGTGCTGCTGTTTATTTAATTCTTTTCACACACGCAGAGAGCACACAACCTAACCGTCTACAGTGAGGGCCATCCTGCCTCAGTGCGGGCTGCACAGAACCGAGTGTAGACGGCCGCCATTACCTAGTGAGTGAGGGCCGCCCTGCCTCAGTGTGGGCTGCACAGAACCCAGTGTAGACGGCCGCCTTTACCTAGTGAGTGAGGGCTGCCCTGCCTCAGTGGGGGCTGCACAGAACCCAGTGTAGACGGCCGCCTTTACCTAGTGAGTGAGGGCTGCCCTGCCTCAGTGGGGGCTGCACAGAACCGAGTGTAGACGGGCCGCCTTTACCTAGTGAGTGAGGGCTGCCCTGCCTCAGTGGGGGCTGCACAGAACCGAGTGTAGACGGGCCGCCTTTACCTAGTGAGTGAGGGCCGCCCTGCCTCAGTGCAGGCTGCACAGAACCGAGTGTAGACGGCCGCCCTGCCTCAGTGCGGGCTGCACAGAACCGAGTGTAGACGGCCGCCTTTACCTTACAGGAAGTCTTCTCTCCTAGGAACGGAGGCAGCGTGACTCCTGGCAGGACGCAGGCCCAGAGTCAGGGGCTCGCTCTAAGCTCTACTCCTGGTCCTCTCCAGCTTGTGACTATGGCAAAGTCACTTAATCTCTCTGTGCCTTGATTTCTCCATCTGCAAAATATGAAAAGCAACATGCAGCACCTCATGAATTCATCACCACCTTAGGAAGAGACATACACAGGGCGTCGTCCTCTTTGCAACTGTCAACACACACACGTCAGCTTCCTCCAAGAAACAAAAGTTCTCTTTCATGTCCGTGAACAACGCATTCTCCTTTACAGTTTATTCTCCTAGATTTGACGCCTGCTGTTTGGACTGTGACCCTTGCCCAGGCTCCTGTGGGAGCAAGCCCCGGCTGGGAAGGTTTGTTCTCTGCCAGCTACGTCAGCTCTGCGCTCTGTGCTCTGTGCTCTGTGCTCTGCCTGAGACGGTTCCATGAGCTCCCAGTTCCTGTGGACCAGAAACCCTGCACGCAGCCGTGTCCTCCCTCCTGCCCAGATTCGGGGTAGGCTCAGCCCGTGCGGCAGCATCGGAGGAGCTCCACACCAGGATTCCCACTGTCACCCTTATTCATTCTGTGATGTCTCCAGGGACTTCTGGGGTGAGAGGATCAGCCTAGTCTCCTTAAAATTGGTAGAACTTAAAACCTTACAAAACACTTTCTTACCCGTTATGTCATTTGGCCATCAATTGAACTTTATGTGAATTTTACGAATAAAGAAACTGATACTCAGAGAGGGTGAAATACATGCTCAGAACTCCCCAGTTAGTCAGAAGGACAGAATAATTGAAACTGAATTATCTGTGTTAAGATCTAGTACAGTTCTTCCCACCGTGAATGAAGGCTGTCCCTACACATGCTCAGGAAGGACCCGCAGCGCTGAGATACGGGTCAGGGAATCTGAGTCTCGCCACTAGGTCCTAGGGGAGCCTTGGGTGGTGGCACTGGATAGCTGGCCCCTTATGATTTCCATTCCAAAGGATTCAGTGCTTCCTGCTCTCCAGGGTTGACAGGACTAAAACTCTCTGGGCTGTTTTGAACCTCAACAGGTCAAGTGAGCCGACAGCCCTGAGCCCCTGCAATGATGCAGCTTAATGCAGATAACCATCATGGAAGTGCCGTCCCACTTTCTATTCAATTCCTCATTTGAGCAACAGGAAACCAGAGAGTGGAGTTAAATGAGAAACACAGGGAGTCATAATAGGGCCATTTTCCCCAGAATTCGCCAATCTTTTCCTTCGACCTGAAAACTAGCCCACCTCGTCCACTTCTGCTGACCATTAGGGACTGAGCCCCAAACCCTTCCCTGTGTACTTAATTTTCCCCAAAGAACAACTTCATCCACATACACAGTTAATAAGGGATGGAGCATGTATATCTTGTCAAGAACATAATGGTGGATATGAACCTCAGAAGGTTAAAAGTCCTGATTAGTCCCTTGAAAGAGAAAGGAATTAGACCAAATTGATCTTTTTTCTCTACTACATTGTAATTTAAAACAAAAGAACTTCTCTTACCCCTTTGGATATAATAACTCCTCTACACATTACCATGAACTCTGAACTACCTTACAGAATCCTCTGTTATGCGAGACCCCAGGGCCCACACAATTCCTACGTGCCTTTGGATCTTATGTGCCTGCTCCTAGTGGTTAATATGGATTCACTGGAAAAACAGAAAAGAAAACAAAAGAAAGAAAAAGAGAAAGAAAATGTTTGCATTGCCCTGTGAAGATGGATTCTAACTGCTCAGACAACGCTGTACATGTGACTCAACCAACAAGCAAAATCTTTAATGGTTAAACAATTTTCAGTTAGCCAGAATGGGGTTATAAAAGCACTACCACTTACTACTTCATGATTTGAGCATGTTGTTTTATAAGCATTAATTTCCTAGACTTTCAATGTCTGAATTAAATAATATATCAAAAATGTCTGGCTTATCATTAAATGCTCAATAAATGATAGTGGGCAGTGATATTAATATCGCTAGATACCGATTTATTAGTATACATTTTCAGTTTCTAATTTCTAACTGTGATGATCTAGACAAGCAGCAAAGGTTACATACAGAAAACTCTGGCTCCCAACATGTGAGTGTGACCAGTGAGTCTGCCCACCCCTGACTGAGGGCTGAGTCTCTGGGACTCTGCTAGACACGGCTAACGCAGTAGAAAAGAGATGGGTAAGACATCGCTACATAAACTCAATGGAAGGTGGAGAGAAAGAATAGACAGAAGCTGGAATGGACATAGTTGCAATCTTAAATATGTAGAAAAATAATTTACTTTGCGTGTAAAGACAAATGGAAAGTATGAAAGAACAGAAAATTTAAAAATATAAAAATGTATTTTTGGGTAAAAAAGAAATTCCATGGCCATCTTTAAATTTACTACCTTTGGGGTCAATAAATGAGAAAAATCTATTAAAAGAAAAAAATTAAAATGAGTTAATACATTGGCAACATGCTCAGTTTTCATGCTGTGTCATATGTGGGGTGTTTGTTTTTTTTAGTAAATTATTTTATAAAGCTATAGTTATTTTAAAAAGCATTTTGCAATTAGCTAATGTCAATGGAATATTGGTAATAATATCAAGAAACATACATATGACTAGCTCATATCTAAAAATTAAACAGTTATTAATGAATGACAAGCAAACTATGCTACAATTCATATTCATAGTATAAACTGAAATGGGTGTGAGGTTTTATTAAAGTTGTCATACAAAGCATGCTCATTTGTGGGATTTTATGAACAATAACCTTATGCTAGACAATGCTCCTTGAAGAGCCAACAGAACAAGGACTAATGATGAGATGGAAGAAGTTCCCCGCCTGAAATCCGTCCACGTTATTCTCATCAGAAGGTGGCTGCACATGACTCCAGAACAAAGTACTGCACAAAACCCAAGCTCCCCTCCCTGGGCAGGAGCAGGGCAGCGAGTCTGTCCCCCCAGCCTCTGCAGCCACCACTGGTGCACAGAGTCCTGTCCCAGGGCGGGGGTTCGAGTCCCTTCTCCGAGCCTCTGAGGCCACCACTGGTGCACAGAGTCCTGTCCCAGGGCAGGGGGGTCGAGAACCTACCAAAATCCCCCTTTTGTGGCTCCTAGTTCATTTTTAAAAAAATATTTAAAGTCAGAGGCAGAAATTTCCTCTGGACATCTATTTTAGGCAAGCAAGTTATCCAACCTATTTTGTTTCTGTGTATTTGATTTTGAAAACCAAGCATTCGTAAGTGGCCATCTCCAGAACTGGCCTGAGTGCCGCGCGCCCCGCCCTGGGCTGGGCAGGGCCCATCTCAGCGGGACCACAGGGTGGGTGTGGTGTGTAGGGGCTGTGCTGGCACCCCTCCCCACCGCCCCACCCTCCGGCTACAGCACTCCATGTGACCTGAGGGCATGGGGTTGTTTATTTTGGGTTCCTTATGAATCCCATGGTTTGAGTGTCCTACACCATTCTTTCTTGGATTTCTTCTCCAGTTTGTGGACACAGAGCCCCAGGCATTTTTCAGAATGGGGACCTCGAGGCAAGGGTTCCGAGGCCCTGCATGTTGGAAATGTCTATTTCACTAAGGGGATAATCATCTCTCCCAAGACTGCAAAGGCCTTGAGGCTATTTTATTCTACGCTATGCATGCATAGTGTTCAGGTTTACGAACGGTTCCACTCCATCGCCAGGCCCGTCTGCAGTCTGATCCTGGTTCCCCCGGGAAGCTCAGAAGCACGGGTTTTCTCTCTAAACAGCTCTACGGTCTTCTCTTTCTGTTGGTTTTCTGGAGTTTGATGAGTTTAGGTTTTTTTCATTCTTACTGCTTGACATGAGTGCCCCACACAACCTGAAAACTGTTCACCCCCCAGAACTTTCTTCTTTCTTTATTAATTTTCCCCTCTTTATTTCCTTTATTATTAGTTTGTTTGAATTTCTACTACTAAATGGATTTGGACTGTTGGATTGTCTAAATTTATCTTCCATTGGTTTCAGCTGTTTTTTTTTTTAAATCTCTTTTTCTTCTCTACGTTCCGGAAGGGCTTCTAACATTTACCTTTGACTTCCTCAATTGCACTTTAAATTTTCAGTACTCCAATTTTAATTTTCAAAATTAGCTTTTGTCACAGTCATACATTTGCATTTATTTTGGTGAATTCTTGTCTTTACAAGAGGATAGAGATCAAGTCGCACTACTCTGTGATTAATATCTCACACAAGGTACCTTACATGTAAACAGCTGATCAATAATAGAGTGAAGAAATAAAGGGAGAAAGAAGTGAGTGAGGGCGTCTCTGCTCAGGGCCGGTGCTACTGTGTCCCCGCTCCTCACAACTGTAGAAAGTGGGTGTTACTAGCCCCATTGTGCAGATAGTGGACAGAAGCTGGAAAGGGTACACAATTTGGTCATTTTTGCACAGTTTATGAGTAAGTCATGAGAGTTTTTGAGTTTTCACAGGGTGTCCTGAAGTAATTCAGGCAAAAGTAAAATAGTGAACAACGTCAGGACCTCCTGGGTTCCCCTTGTTGGACATGACCTCTTAGCACCTCAGAGTTCAGCTGAAAAAAAGGCCTGGTTCCAACCTGGTGCCCCAGGGATTCTTGGTTTACTTTCTCATTCCTTGAATGGGTCTTGTTACCTCCAGTTCCTCTTGCTCAGAGATGGGGGGTCACCTTCTTTCTACATGGAAACAGGATCGTGGCTGTCATGTTTTAACCCTGCTCCATGGTGAGAAGTAGATTTTACATCTTGACCCCGTGTGCACATCCTATGTATATTGTAGAGAGATTCGAAACCATGATAAAATCAAACATTTCACAGAACAACACATTCTTAGTATGTATGACATCTTCAAATACTTTCCATTTTACTTCTTTTCGCTGATATTAGTACTGCCTCCTCAGATTGATATCACAACTCACAAATGAATTGTGGCCACAGTTGGAGAAACACCGGTGTAAGTTAGCTGGGGTGTATTTTCTCCATGGTCTCTCGACCATGAGACTTGGTGTGTGATCGTGTGGTTGGTTCTCTGCTGCTGCCGAAACAGTGGCGCCTGCCTTGACCTCTTCCAGCCCAATACCTCATCACCACTTATGTTAATAAGATACTGAAAACATTATCTATGATACCGGTTGTCAAGTACAGTTGTGTATCTCTCAGTTTCATATAGAATTCAATTTCAAAAGCTTTCTGTGTATGCCATATGCTTCAGTTGGTCTATCATTGGATGCCACTGGTAAGTGTCGGGCCACTGTTGTGCTCGAGGCTGCCTAAGAGACAATGAGGATGGAATGTATGAATTGACTCCAGAAGAATGTATGAATTGACCTCAGGCCTTCAGTGGACCAAGCATTACACTAACTGCAAAAGGGTGTAATCATTTGTCCCTATTCACAGGGTAGGGTCAACGTTTTTCAGGGTAAATATTCAGCATGATAGTTTAGGCTTGTGATATGTGTCCCCACCCAAATCTCACCTTGAATTGTAATCCCCATAGTCCCCACATGTCAAGGGCAGGACCAGGAGGAGGTAACTGGATCAAGGGGGCAGGGTGGTTTCCCCCATGCTGTTCTCATGATAGAGAGTGAGTTTCAAGGGATCTGATGGTTTTAAAAGCATCTGGCATTTCCCCTGCTTGCGCTTCTCCTTCCTGCCGCCTTGTGAAGAAAGTGCCTTGCTTCCTGAGTTGATTAAACCTCTTTTCTTTATAAATTACTCAGTCTTCGATGTGTCCTTATAGTGGTGTGAGAATGGACTAATACATCTTGGGAATTACTAAGAACCAATTTGTGCCTCCACATCAACCCCAGGGTAAGCTTACAACTGCTCCAAAATATGCACCTGTTCTTCTTGAGTCCTCACCCCATTTCCCAGTTAGCCTTGCTCCATTCCCATGGCCTGCTCTGCACGGGGGGCATCTGTGCTTCTGGTGTGTGTGTCTCAACACAGCCTCACACTTCCTGCCAAAGGCCTTTTGGGCTTTTCCACGTGACATTTCACACAAAGTATTGAAAAAGTCAGCAGGTAGGAGGGTCACTTATTAAAAACTCCTCCATGTTCCCTGTGACAGTGAACAGTAACTACCCAGGCCTGCAGCCCAGACTCATCCACCATCATCCAGGCCCATGGCCTTGGCCTCTGGGTAGCTCCTCTCAGCCTCCCGGTGCCTCTCAGCAGAGCTCTTCTCTCCCTCCTGCTGTGTGGCTTGATTCCCACCAATGGACCATGGCCTGGGGGCCTGCTGCTTCTTCCTCCAGCAGCCACAGGGGTTTCTCTCCTGCCCCTTCTCTATGTCTTTTGAGATGTCCCCTTCCTGCAGCTGAGTCTTCAGTGCCACCCCATCACCTTCAAGGTAAGCCAGCACCCTGGTGTGGGGCCTGTGGGTGTTCAGGGCCACCGAGTCTCCTCCATGCCTGCACACCTCCCTGTGTGGACCCCTGCATTCCCTGACTTAAGTCTCCCCTCAGCCTCTGGGAGCAGCATCTGCTCTCATGGCCCCAGGCCTGGCTGCTTCAGGCACCCCCACTCTACTCCCTCAGTGCACCATGCTTCCTTTTCCATCAAGAAGCATAATATACTGATTTATGCCTTTTGTGCATGCGTTCTTTCCTGCATGCATTCTCTCCTGCATGTGTTCCCTCCTGCATGCGTTCTCTCCTGCATGTGTTCTCTCCTGCATGCCTTCTTTCCTGCATGCATTCTATCCTGGATGCCTTCTCTCCTGCATGCATTGTCTCTTGCATGCCTTCTTTCCTGCATGCATTCTCTCCTGCATGCCTTCTTTCCTGCATGCGT